GTTTTTTGTTATTGTTGTGACTAATGAAGTTTTCTGTGGGTGTGTGGCTAGCGATGGTTTTGGATCTGTTGTTGGTGGATCTGTTGGTGGCGGTTATGGATCTGTTGTTGGTGGTTTTGGATCCATTGTCGGTGGTCGCCGATTTTTGTTATTGTTGTGACTAATGAAGTTAATTGTGATCTTAATAAGACATCCGTGACCTCGACATTGAAGCAGTTATCTGAATTAATCTAATTGTGATCTTAATAAGATATCTGTGACCTCAAAATCGGACCAGTTATCTGAATTAAGCTAATTATGACCTTAATAAGATATCCGTGGCCTTATATTTTTTTCGATGAGTAACTAATGAAGTTAACTGTGAACTTAATAAGATATATGTGACCTCGATATTGGAGCAGTTATTTGAATTAAGCTAACTGTGACCTCAATAAAATATCTGTGACCTCGGAATCGGTATAATCACCAAAATTAAGTGCGGTTGGGAAGTAGTCGCCGGCCACTAGAGTAGTCGTCGGAGCAGTATAGGTAGTGGTGGTGGGGGGGTTGGTTAATTATATTATATTACAATTAAATATTTAATTTAATATAATAATTGTAAAATATATTAATTAATTCATGAAAAAACCTNTTGTAAAATATATTAATTAATTCATGAAAAAACCTGATTTTTGCAATTCTAAATATTGAGACCTGATTTTTGATTTCATGATAGATAATACCTGATCCATAAATTTTTCCCTTTCCCCAAACATGACCCAATTCAACAAAAATAATTCACATAATAATCATCACAGCCTATACGTAGAAGCATTAGAATCATCAAACATAGCATGTACTCTACAATACGGAGAAGAAATCCCATGAATGAAATGCCGTTGAATTGCAACTTCCACGATTTTTGATTGATACTACAAGTACATCAAGAATTACATCATAATATACATAATGACAAAGTGACATGTCATCATTGGCTAATAGATCAATCAATGATGAAATGTCACTTGATCATTGTGTACACCAAGGCTATGTACATATAGAATAATTCTTTGCACAAATATATGTGTTTTACTACTTGTACACTGGAGTTGACCTCCCTCACAATAGGGGCTTACGATTTTTTTATCGGATGTGTGGGGCTATACATTGAATTGTCAACCATGGTGTACAAATAGTAAAACCTTAAATATATTCAGGAAAATTGGAGGCATAAAAGGGTAGTTGGTTTTTATAGAAGAGAAAAATGAAGAGTAATATTTGGATAAAGTACATCACAATATTGAATTTTATTTTTCATTTTTAGTTTCTTTTGAATTGGTGGATAATTGTAATTTTGTTGTAATGTATTTATTGAAAACATATTTTAATTATAGTGTAGTAAATAAATTTTGTGGTATCATAACATTTATCACTCTAGAGTACTTAGTTCATGTTTGATCCTCATTATTTCAAATTACAAATTTTGAAATAGTAATGTTTTGGGAAATGTGTGGTCGAAAAAAAAAAATTTTGATTTACACGTGATATTATTTTGGCATTGTTTGAGCCACCTTTTTATAGAATGAGAATGAAAAATATAGTCGTTATTGGGGCCCACACAAGAGATAGAAAATTTGAATTTAAATGATGATGTGATAAATAACGGTCATATTTTTAATAAGGTGGTCCAAACGGGGGTTTGTTATGTTTTCTGTACATTTTAATAATGTGGGGGTGTTTGTTTGGAATTTTTGGGGGAAGAATTGATTTTTGAATAGTGATATGATGAGAAATGTGTGGTTGAAAAAGAAGAAAAAATTATTGATGTGATGAAAAATATTGTTTTATTGAAAATGTGTAGTTGAAAATGAGTAGAAGAATGATAATGAAAATTTTAATATGTGTCAAACAGGGGCTTAATGAGAAAATAAGGTGGCCCAAAAAGTGGTTTTATGAAAGATTGTGTGCTTAAAAATAAGAAAGAAAATATTAATTTTTTGGAATAATGGAGACAAAACGAAACGGGGCTAAGCTGACACCACACTAATCCTTAAATTACACACTTAGCCCCTGTTTGTTTCACAATTTTCATTCATAAAAATGAAAAATACGATCGTTATCCATCACATCAAGTCATCAAATTTGAGTTTTCATTTTTTATGTGAAGTTCAATAACGATTATATTTTTCAGTTTTATTCTACAATAACAAGAATCAAACGGGCCTTTAGCTCTTTCATGATTCATGTGTAATATTATTGTAAGAAAGACGCTGGGATTGAAAATGAGAAAGAAAAGAATAATTTTTGGGATAACCAGGGCGAAACGAAACGGGGCCACGCCGACACCACACTAATCCTTTAAATTACACAGTTACCCCGACGCTGTTTCTTGATCGGCGCATTCAATCTGTACTAATAAAATATGATTTTGTTTATTCTTCAATCCGTTTCATGGTAGCGGTCTCGAATCGATTGATCGGTAATCTAAATGAAAATTCGAAACCCAGAGATTTGAATCACAAAGCCCGTTAATTTTCGTGGACTCTCTAACACCCGTATTTATCCTGGTATGTATTCTTTGAATCCCATTAATGAAATGATCTGTATTTCACAATTCTATGCTGTAACGCGATTTTAATTGCTTTTCCTGTGCTGATTACTTTAATTTCAGATTTCATGTGGCGATTTGTTTCTCTAAAAAAGGGGGAAAAAAAAGAACATGAAGTTTACGCGAAATTAGAAAAAGAAGATCGATATCTTATGCCCAAAATTGCCCTTGAATTTTTGTCTAGATTTAAGCTTATTATTCTAGCGATTACGAATCAAAATCCGTTTTATTGGGAGGCATTAATTTTTTATAAATAAGAATAAAGAAATAACTGGAGAAGTTAAACTTTTATGTAAAAGTTGATTATGGTAATAATAATAAAAAGATTTTTGATTATAGGGGGGTAAAAATCAAAATGTAACTGTTTGAAAGAGGTTGAGTTCTTGATTGCATTACAGTAGCGATGGATTCTGATTAGAAGCTGCTAAGTTAAGGGTAAGTTTATTTAAGGTTATAGCCTGAAATAATCAACCTACAAAGTTGCACATATATGAGGTCATCTCGTTCAGCTCATCCGAAGTTGTCAATCCTACTCTAGTATGGGGACCGCTAAAACTCAGTATCTCGTGTGGGTTAAAGGATATTTAATGCAAAACCAATAATAGAACATTGGAAAATTTCCCCCTTTTAAAGTGAGTCGCAAACTTAGATAGTAATTAATAGGAGCTCCTTGAGCTAACACGTATGAGCCTGTTGCCTACTGTGTATAGAAGCTATCCCTTCTTGTCAACAAATACCACTCTGGCTGCCATACTTATGGTAGGCGAACAAACAGAATTAAGTTTAAATTTTCTATAAATCCGAACATTGACCAAGGCAAAGGAGTGTGATCCGCCATCCACCTCTTTTCCTGTGGATGGCTGAGCAGACTTACATATGCACTCTCTTGCAGAACTAAGCTTGATTCCAACTCTACTGTTTGCAAGTAAGTATCAACAATTTCTGATGTCAACTTTAGGTTTGGGATGTTTAAAATAGTGGTCTATGTGCTCAAATGAAAATAAACGGAAAAATAAAAAACTCATACACTCAGAAGCTGAGTTGAAAAAGAAGTTAGATTTTATTGGCATACTCGTTAAACTAAACACTATTGTGATATTCTGGCAAAAATGACAATTTTGATTTCTTCTGGATGACAACTACTGAAATACGTTCTTTTCAAGTTTCAACTATGTTATGCTGTTGTCAGCTGCAATATCTTTACTTCCGTTTCTGGAAAAGAAATGGATGCTGCATTAACGCAACTTTAGGAGTATCAGGATTCAGAAAGAAAGATGCTGGTCGCAACAAAAACAATTGAAAAATTCTGTACTCTACAGAAGAGGGAAGCCTCTAAGATTAAATTTGTGACTTAGAAGATGAGGAATTTTTCAAAACAGCCATCTCAGCATGGTCAAAAGTACAAAATGATCATTTTTAAATTTGTTCGTTCAAGAGGACTACTATATAGATCACAAGACTAATTTAGCCTTATTAAGCCCCTGTTTGACTCCCTTTTTTTTTCTCATTCTATTTCTGTTTCTTCATTTCAACCACACAATCTATTAATAAAATAATATTACATATAAACCAAAAAATTCTCCTTACTTTTTAACCACACAATCTTCCATCAATCACTATTCCAAAAATTATTTTTCAAAAAAAATGGGTGTCAAAAAGGGCTAAAACATGGCCACCAGTCAAAGTAGAGCATCAATTATCCAACCTCTCCAGGACTCAAATAAATTATGCTCTTTAGTTGGGCGAGATGATCGAATTTGGAGAGCAAGGAAAATTTAAATTAGTCATTCTCTTTTATTGAATTTCTTGTAAACTAGTGGATGTCCTCTTCATTTTTAGCACAAGAAAAAGGAAGAAAAGAGATTTCTACTCTTAGATTCTTTTCCTGGATGTCTCTTGTTGTAACCTACTCTCAGATTATCTCATTGATGGGATTGGTCATATATCCTTTAAACTCAAATCTATTTTGATGTTGACTGCCAACTGTTTCAGACAATCCTATTGTTTCTATATATATATATAGCTTATGTAATGAGGCAACGCTGTGTTCCCTTAAGTGAAGAAGCCTTTATTCTTCTTCTTGGAGAGTTGTGACCAAACTTTCCGCAGTCTATGGTCTAGTTTATTTTCTTTACAACTTAAATGAACCTTAACATATGGATTTTTACTGTTCATTTAGTATAGAATGTTACACGGCACGCATATGGTTACCAGTGCATAGGATCCTATCTAAGCTCCTCATCTGGCTGTGTTACTCATTACTTTTTTCTTTCATCTTCACGCATTGAGTTCTCACTGCAAAATGTAACCACAAAACATATATTTCAGTTGTCTCCTGTGCAAATTGAGCAAGTTTAGCATGGCAGACTTGCCGCGTTATTTGATAGCTTGTTTGCAAACCGGGAAACTGGCTATGCTAGCAATTCTGGTGTCGGGAGGAATTGTGTTGCAGATACTGGTCAGTTTTGCTCTGTGTTGTGCATTTCCTTCACTTCATTCACTTGCAACTGTATACTGTTATCCTACTAAAGTCATTTTTCTGATTTGTTCTTTATGATTTTGCAGGCATGTGCTTTGTACAACAATTGGTGGCCAATGTTAACAGGTAGTTTATATGAAGATATCTTTGGCTTATCCAATGTTGGAAGCAGAAAATATGAATTCATCTGAAAGCATTTGAGCATTACACTGAATATTAAACTATGGATATTTCACCAGTAAGCCTATTTCACCATTTCACTAAAAAAGTAATCTAAGGTAGCGAGAAAAGGTGTAAATATATGTGATAATACTGATAAAAATTGGTAAAACTATGTTATGTTTCATCAATTCAATATTTGTTGGGCTTATAAAAGTAGAGCTTCAACCTTTAAAGAACTGAAATTTGCATGATAACACTAGAGTTCCACCCCCCCAACCCCCCCCCCCANCCCCCCCCCCCCCCCCCCCCCAAATTTATTTATTTATTTTTCTGAAACACTTCATAGCAAAATGATTATATATGCATTTTCTTTGATACATACTTCTGAAGAATGTACTCTGCTTTGGAGGTCAAATGCAAGAATATGCATTTTCTCTGATACATTAATTTTGAAGATCTCAATTAGGAGGTCTAAATGGCTCGGAATAGTGCTCCAAATTTTGGCTGAGAAATGGTGAAAATGTTGGAAGTTGTGTTTTGACATATTACTTTTAGCTAACCTCATGTTAAATCATGAAATAACATGTAGAACATGCAGTAATTACCAGAAGTCAATTTCCATAAACTGAATATCTGTAACATCGTGTTGAGAAAACCATATAAGTAAAATCCTAATTTAAAACAAACAAAAAGTTAAATCCTAACTTAAAGCAATATAATAATGAATAAACATTTAAAGCTTCGTAATACGATGTCTGGGCTCAGATATCATCATCCTGGCTTGAGTGATTATGCAAATGTAGAAATTAGCTAGGTATAGATTAGCCTATAAAGACACTCAGTATGAATCATGCCAATAATTTTCATAATTTAATGCTGAAAGTGAGCAAATAATGCAACATATCTGAAGTAAAATGGTCATGCAGAAACTGACCATTTCAATCTAGATCGGGCAACCCATCTAAGTTTCAATGTAGATCTATGTACGAAGTGGTTTTAGCCACCATAATTGTCTCAATCTCTGAAGAACATATCAAAATGATGCATTTGATACATGTTTTTAATAATTTAGTTGGCAAAAATATACTGGTTTCTGATAATTGTATTCTTGCATTGTCCCTTTGCAGTATTAATGTATGTTCTTCTACCTATGCCTCTGATTTTCTTTGCTGGGTCAGATACTTCCTCACTCTTCTCTGAATCAGCGAGTAGGTAAAGCTTTCTTCTTCAAAACTGATCTTGTTATTTTTTCTAAAATCATATAAGTTAGGGATCATTCTTAGTTAAATAAATATTGTATTTTGGCCTCATACTTGCCTTTTTCACAATCAATCCAAGCAACAGTTGGGTAGATGCAACAAAGTTCTTGACTGGAGCTTCAGCTGTTGGCAGCATTGCTATACCAATTATCTTAAAGCATGCTGGAGTAATTGGTTGGGGAGCCATGGCAATGGAACTCTCATCCTTTTTCGTACTTGTCATGGCTATTTTGTGCTACCTCGGAACAAGCGATGATGATGGATACATTACATTTTGAAGTACAAAAACTTTATTTGGGATAAGGAGGTTTGTTCTACCAGTAAGCGTCTTTTGCTTGAGCATGTGCTCATGTGATTATGATTTGTATATGCATATGTTTACATATATACATTGTTTGTTATCAAGAAGATGTTGAAGTGGTCTAATCCATTATGCAACAATGATGAATGTACTTTGATTGGATACTCGAAATTGTTATATCTTGATGTTCATTGTGCTGTTTCATGGTTTTCTTTTATTGAAATAGAGAGGTGTTACCGATTTTCTAAGCTTTTATGGCTTTGTAAGGAAGGTTTTAGGACGGATCAACTGTTGGACTCCGGTGAAATATCAAGTTTGCTGATCATCCCTTTTCGACTGCACCTTGAGAGATGAACGGAGTTCTCTCGAGATTTAAATCATATAAAAATAAAAAAATTAATTGAATGGTACGGTAAATGAAGATTTTTTAATCTCATCCCGCCTTCTGAAAATTCTCCACATGCCCCTCACAGACATCCGTAGAACTGAGTTATCTCAATATCACATTTCTTAAAGGTAGAGGACTCAGAAATAAGATTCTCTTTATTTCACTTTATGTCTCTATTATCTCTAGTGCTGGTGTGGGTTTGCCATTTGCCACTTCGGTGGTCTTGTTGGGGACCCCACGGTTGAGCCGCCGTCGGCTAGTCCACATCACGCCGGTCCCTCCAGCCCTTTTATTGACACGTGCTTCCCTGTCCCCAAATGTGGTCCAAATCCACTTCTAGCCGCCACGTGTTTCATTTATTATTCTCGCTTCTAAAAGGAGGAAGCTAAGTAAGGGGGGTTTCTTCTTGTCTTTAGGCGTACCGAATTTTCTTTTTCTTCCACATTTACATTTTTGCCCCATACTTTCTATGGATTATTGATTATACTATTTGAATCAAATTATTGTAAAATGAGAATGAAAAATATAGTCGTTATTGGGGTCCACATAAGAGATAGAAAATTTGAATTTAAATGTTAATGTGATGAATAACGGTCATATTTTTCATTTTAATGAGATAATAATGTAGATCAAATGAGGGCTAAAAATTCTTATAGAAAAATAAAATCTGTCTTTAGTCAGAATATTAATTTAGCCCTTGTTTGATACTCATTTTTCTTAAAATACTTTTTTATTT